TTATGTTTGTTTACAGACGTGGGTGGTCGGATTGAATTGCTATGATTGTGGGTGTTTGGTGATGATTTGGGAGGGGAAATTGATAGTGCGAGGGGCTTAGTAATCCCCCTCAGTAGGAGGATTAGCTTGGTTGTGTTTTAGGTGGGATTAGGAAAATAATAAACGGATTGAGTCTATTTTATATGATTTTTTTTTACCAAGTGCACTTGTTTGTTTTAGTTTTTTTTAATATAAAATTATTTATTTATTTATTTTATATAAAAATAATTTAACAGTCTTGCCACTAACCATCTCCCACATTACTGCTTTTTTGAGACGGCATTTTCTGCCGTCTCAAAAAGTGACTTTTTGAGACGGCAAGTGTACCGTCGCAAATAGTTCCGTCTCATATACCCAGTTTTCTTGTAGTGTATCCAACTTAATCCGCCAAACAAGCGTGGCCTAAGGGTTCAATACCAATACAGAGGTTATGGATTCAACTCTCCTAAAAGGAAAGTTGAATTAAGAGGTAAGCACTTAGTGGTTTTGTTGATACCAAAAAATAATTTTCTATTGATTATGACTTGTTAATTGACAAAGTCTCATTTAATTAATTGTGAATTGTCGATTATGACAAAATCTAATCTCATTAATCGTGACATGTCAATTTTAACCTTTCAATTCAGATTATGTTCATTTTTAAAGGTTTACTATTGCCATGTTTTATTATTATTACTACGATTACTATTTTTGTGCAGGTAAATATCCCTCAAACTAGGGGTGTTCGCAATTCAGTTGCAGCTGGAAACCTCTAATCTGCTATCCATCCGCTGAATGGTCAGATTGAAAAAAATTAATCCGCATCCATCCGCCGAATTGATGATGCAGATTGAAAGGATTAGCGAATTAGCGGATGGATGCAAATCGGTTTAGCGGTTTAAACTTTTACAAATTTTGAACATAATACAATAACTTGTCAATATTTTTTTAAATAATAATCTAACTCAATATAATCAAAAAATTATCAAGTAAATTTTTAAATACCAATAATAAATATACATAAGAAAATCATGCATTATCAAAACTATTTCATTATTTTTTTTTATTGAAAAACTATTAAATTTGATTTTTTTTCAAAAAAATGACAAAATTAAGTATTATATTTTCTACACAAAAATATCAAATATCAACTATTGCCATTTGATAAAAAAGGTTTCTAAATTGAAAAAAAATTGAAAATACAACAGAATATCTATTTTTTTTTCAATTGAAAAGACAAACAGAATATCTAAACAAATTGAAAATACAATCTCTTACAAATTACTAGGGGTGCTCGCAGTTTGACGATTTGGTTGCGATCAAAAGAATTTCAAATTTGTCATATGTTCAAAACTAAACGGATTGAAAAAAATCAATCTGCAACTGTCCGCTTGTTATCACGCATCCGCCCAATAAGCGACGATTCGGTTCAATTCGATCAATTTAAATGGATCAAAATATCCATTACTCACTTCTATCTCAAATCATCTGGTGGATCATGACATCACAAAAGGATAATGTGCATCAAAAGTCGTGGCTGTTGTGAAAACATGGGTTGATGGGAGTTTAGATAAGAAAATGGTGTGAAAGTTAACGAAGGATACATAGCAACAACTCTGCAAATAGTATCGAGTGGACTAGTGCGTGGTGCAACGTGGGGCACAAATGAGGAGTTTGGGTTTGTTTGGTTTGTGTCTTAAAATATAATTTTGGAGAATTTTTTTTAAAATTTTGTTTAGTTTAAATTTTTTAAAAAGAAATTTCAAAATCACATTTTCTCTTATAGATCAAATAATCATTTTTTCTCTTTCCTATTTCCTTTTTAAATACTTTTTCTCTCACACACATCTAATCAATTATAATAAAATATCAAATTATCCAAACTCTCAAACTCCAAAACTACTTTGAAAATATACAATCAAACAAATTTAAAAAAAAAATCTATACTCTCTTTTCAATTTTTTTTTTTTTTTAAAAAAATTGTCTCAAAACACAAATCAAACACAGTGTAACTTTCATTAATTGTGCATATCGATTAAAAAACTATTTAGTGCAGTTATTTGAAGTTGAAAGTCTATAAATTGGCCGGAAGAAGATGATCAGAGGGATCAACAAATCAACAACATAAAAATAATTAGTTTTTAGACTTAGGTTTTGTTTGGGAACAAGTTTTTTTAGTAATTTTTTAACTTTTTAGTTAAAATATGAGGTAAAAAAAATTTAATATGTTTGGAATGATTTTTTTGATTTTTTACAAAAAGATGTGTAAAAAATAGAGAGAAAAGAGAATATTTGAATTTTTGCTATAAGTTATAGGCTTTTTGATTTTTTTAGTAACTTTTTAACTTTTAAGCTAAAACAATAACATGCCAAACAAGGCCTTAGCGTTTATTTAAGACTAGTTCATCAATTTAAGAGTATTTCTCTATAATTTGCGACTCTTATAATTTTAGATAATTTCACCTTGAATTGTCTATATTTATTTTGTTACTTTTTTTTGTTGATTGTAATTTTATTCCAAAAAAATAATTGTACTTTCAAAGTATTTGAATAAAAAACATAGTTGCTTAATTGCTCTTGTTTGATTGTTTACTTTGTTTACTTCATCTCTCTTGTCGATTGTAATTTTGTTATAAAGTTCTCATTCTTTTGAGGTATTTGAATTAAAAGTACAGTCACTTGATTACTCTTATTTGATTGTTTGTTTTAAATTATTTCTTGATCCTGTCAATTTGGTATTAGCATAATTTTTAGGAAAATTCTATTTCCGCACACTTACTTACCTCTGTCCACACACTTAATGATTTATTTTTTTATTACAGTCTTGACCTAAAAAAAAATTACTATAGTATTCCTTATCTTCTCCACCAAAACCTTAATTTCTTAACCTTAACCCTAGCTACCGCCCACCGCTATTGCCGCCTCCATTACAGTTTTGGAAATCTGAGTTTATTTCAATCTCTTGATCTCAACACTAACCAATTGAGTGGGAATTTTCCTAATACATTGTTTATATATTTGTTTTTAAGAACTTTTTACTATTGTTTTCAAGAGCTTTTTATTACAGTTTTGTTTTCACTATTGAAAAGGCTATTTACAATATGCCATTTTTACTGTTTCACTTCTTCTTCTTCTTCTTTTTCTTCTTCTTTTTGTTTCTTGCGTGGCTATCTCATACATGCACATTTTCACTACTATACAGGAATTCTATTCTCAACGAAAAAACATCCAAAAACAAAGGATCTAGTGGTGAATATTCTTTCAATTCAATTTTTTTTTCTTGGTGAGTGAATTTTTGGATTGATTTGTCAATATCTTTATAGTAATGTATTATTTGTTTGCTCGTGTGTCCCGATTTATACATATGTTTCATTTTTGCAGCCAGAAGATTTTTTCACTAGTCCATTGCCGGAATGCTTGAAGAACTGCTCTTCACCAACTAGATAATGAGGGTTGGTTTAGGGTTTTAATGTTAAAGACAAGGATATTTATAACAAAAAAAGGTTGTGCATTGAGTAAAATTACTACATTCAAATTAGTCAGTGTGTATTAAGAGAGGATGTGGAGTGAGATATTTTGGCGTGTGAAAATAGAATTACCCTAATTTTTAGGATAAATTACACTGACTACTACCCTTGAGATTTGGTCCGATTACATCCTACCTCTTGACGTTATAGAAATTACATTCTCACTCTTGTGATTAATAGTCTCATTTCACAAATCTCTCTACTTATATAAAAGACAACAACTCCTAGTAAAAAAATAGAATAAATACTTTGAAAAAAAAATAAAGCAAAGGAAAGAAAAAAAAATAGAAGAAATAAAGCAAAGCAATAAAAGAGCAAATATATCTTTCCGATGTAGCGAAAAAAAGAAAGAGCAAATATATGAATTCAATACATTTTTAATGTCAATGTTAATTCCGTTTAAATAATTACAATGATAAGATATTAGTGTAATTTTTAAAATATAAAGAATGATATATATTAAATCTAAATTTCAAGAGGAATAAGTGTAATTTATCCTAATTGTTACTAACAATTTTGTAAGGGTGGAGAGATCATAGATCCTAATTTCACAATTAACTTTCATTGATAGAAATAATAATAATAATAAATTCTATAAATCCATAGGAATAGACTAGCAATCCATACCACTCCTTTACAACCAAACATGGTACACGCGAAGTCCGCGGATTACCGAAACTCCCATTCAAGCATGGCGTGATGATGCTGTGTTGACTTTCATAGCTACAAAGGATATTTTTGTAATTTAATTTAAATTAAGCGGCCCGGATAAAAGCAACACGCTTTTCCCATATCGTCTTGGAATTTGGATTTTCGCATTTGAGAATAATGGCACTTGTATAAATTTCTCTCTCTCTCGCTCTCGCCCGGCAGTCTGTGCAATCTCTCACTCGTACAAGTCGAGTTTACTCTCTCTCTCTAAAATATTCAAATCGACCGAAGAACTTCTTTAAAATCTTCTCGCAGACTCAGGTAATTCTTCTCTCTGTCTCTCTATACGTATATGGGTGCATTTATATACATACGTATATATTAGATGTGACATTGAAGTTTGTTTGTTTGTTTGTATTTTTTTCTTTTTTTGGATCGAATGCGAAGAGAATAAATTAGTTGATTTTTGTTAAGAATTTAAGCTTAGATGATTTCGTAACAATGCTTCGAAAACGATCTGTGGTGATCAGGAGGAAACGTAGGTTGGTGGAGGTCGTAAATTGGTAGAGAGATATAGGGGCATTCTTGTCATTTTGAGAGCATTGTGGTGTGAACTATGAAGTCACGTCGTAGAAAGTTTTGAATTGAATTTCGTAAAAAATAATACTCGAACGCCAACGACTTTTGATCGAATTTTATAATCAAAGAAGTTGAGAGAGAAAATAATAAAAAACTGAAATTATTTTTGTACAGGGTCAAGACTATACTCATGGTTATCCTCTCTCTCTCTCTCTCTCGCCCGGCAGTCTCTGCAATCTCTCACTCGTACAACTCGAGTTTACTCTCTCTCTCTAAAATATTCAAATCGACCGAAGAACTTCTTTAAAATCTTCTCGCAGACTCAGGTAATTCTTCTCTCTGTCTCTCTATACGTATATGGGTGCATTTATATACATACGTATATATTAGATGTGACATTGAAGTTTGTTTGTTTGTTTGTATTTTTTTCTTTTTTTGGATCGAATGCGAAGAGAATAAATTAGTTGATTTTTGTTAAGAATTTAAGCTTAGATGATTTCGTAACAATGCTTCGAAAACGATCTGTGGTGATCAGGAGGAAACGTAGGTTGGTGGAGGTCGTAAATTGGTAGAGAGATATAGGGGCATTCTTGTCATTTTGAGAGCATTGTGGTGTGAACTATGAAGTCACGTCGTAGAAAGTTTTGAATTGAATTTCGTAAAAAATAATACTCGAACGCCAACGACTTTTGATCGAATTTTATAATCAAAGAAGTTGAGAGAGAAAATAATAAAAAACTGAAATTATTTTTGTACAGGGTCAAGACTATACTCATGGTTATCAAAATGACGATTCAGATCGTAATAGGGTTTTAAATTTAGAGGAATTTTAAGGCGATTACGGTCTTAATCATAAAATTATGTAGAATCACAATACAATTCTAATTGATCTTACTAAAACTTTTTATTGTTATTTATTTTTTATGTGTGAATGTATATTATGTATATGTATATAAGAAATTTGACTATAAATTCATTCTATAAATATTTCTTTTAATTTATGATAACATAAAAGATACTTTATATCAAATAAAATTATTTTTCTTTAATGATTTTAAATTATTTTTTTTATTTTATATTAAAAGTAAGATCTTATGAGACTCTTGATCCGATTCTACTATCTAATCCACAAGCTCCTTCCATCGATCCTATCTAGAATCCCAATTTTAACAACATTTATGGTACTGTTTGGACTTTGAGGCGGATTCATTTTAATAATTTAAAATTGAAACAATTCATTTTTTTATAACACTAGTGGGTGACACACGCAATACATGTGCAATTTAAATAAATAAGCATAAAAAAAAATAATAAAAAAATCAATCTCGTAATATGTATGTTGTCTAAATGGTAAGAATGTTCTTAGTGAAATTCAAGGTCTTGGGTTCAAATTTGAATAATATTTTTTTTATTTTAAGATAGAAAAATTTGCCACGCGACAAAAGAAGAAGCCACCATACTATTAGACACCAAGTCATGTGTTCACATATATAATAGTATAGATAATTATTTTGGTATGGTCATTTTAAAAAAAAAAATTACAAATTTTTACTAATTTGATTGTATACCTTATATAATCATAATGGTATTTAGGATAAATTACAAATACATTTTTTAAGATTTGTTTAAAATATAAATTGTCTTATGTAATTTTGAAAATTACATCCTATTTTTTCAAATTTCTAAGCACATAACAAATTATCCATTTTATTAATAAATTATGAAGTCAATTAACAGTTTTTAATGATATCAAAAATATGTTTTAATTAATAATCTTGATAATTTTATTGTTGTGTAGAAAAATAAGATGAACTTTTATTTTTTCTTTTAAATCAAAAATTTTGACGAGGAGTATTTGTGATTTCTAGAACTTTTTAAATAAAGGGTTGTTTGGGGTGTTCTAAATGAGTGTACTTTTTGATTTTTTGGACTAAAAAGTTGAGAAAAAATATGGTTATTTAGGATAATTTTTTGAATTTTTACAAAAAAATGTATATGAAAAATTTGTATAAATTAGTGTATAGGAGAAGCTTTGGCAGAGTAGGCAATACGGTGGGCAGAGTAGTGTATAGGAGAAGCTTGCCCCCTTTTCGGACATTGAATTGGACGATACTGTTCGGCCCGTGGGGGCCTACAACGGGTCCCGTTTTGTTAATCGGAACCATTCAATGTGTAGAACTCGTTAAGTACTATATGCTTGTAAAACATCACGTTAATTGGATATCGATAGTTATCTGATCGAATTAGTTTTTGTCAACCGTGAACTATAACATCATCATTTTTTATACAAAACTGATTTGATCATTTAGTTAGCGATATCCGATTAACGTGATTTTTAATAAACATATATTACTTGACGAGTTCTACACATTGAATGGTTCAGATTATCAAAACAGGACCCGTGATGGGCCCCCACGGGCTGAACAATACCATCATGTTTGCTTCTCCGCCTGTTCCCTTTGTACAAATGGTGAGCAACTAAAATACAACTCACGTGACATGTGAGTCGTACTTTTTTTTGTAAAATTAATTTTTTTATATTTTTTTTGATAAATAGTAATAATTTTTTAACTTTTTAATTTTTTTAAAGTATGCCAAATCAGTCCTAAATTTCAGGGCTATATTTATAATTTACTCTAATAATTAACAATGGGTTACGTTAAAATTAAAAAAAATCAAATCAAATAAATTATTAGAGGCAAAAGGCATTCCCGGAATCCTGGTAAAACAAAAATTGTGACAGCATAGACGTAGAATTTATATCCTATAGGATGAAAGATAGATACTAAGGTCAAGTTTGGCTATCTTAAATAAATACATATTTTTTATCTTTTATCTTTTTTCATCACATCATCTCTTTATTTTTCTGCACATTTTTTTATAAAAAGACAAAAAGTGTACTTATTTAGGTCATCTCAAACAATCCCTAATAATAATAATAGGATTATTTAGGGACCCAAAATAATTTACTCAATTTTTTTAAAAAATTTTCATATGAGTGTGAAATTTACACACATATGGATTTGTGTGGGTTCCATATCCATGTGGTTCCATATCCATGTGAAAAGTTTAGTAGAAAATTTGGTAGATTATTTAGGGTTTATAGCATTTTTCATAATAATATAAAAATATAAATTGTATAGATATTTGCATTTTATTGTCTATGGTCCTATTTGACAAGTTGAATTTTAGTTTTTTTCTAATTAAAATTCGCAAAAGAACAACATAGGCTAAAATAATTAATAAGACAAAATATCATATCAAACTTATAATCATTTCACTTTGAATAATGTTATATGTATCAATTAATGTATTAACTAGTATATTAATAGATGATATGACATAATTTTAGAAGTTTTGGGTATTTATAATTTGTATAATAGGTGAGTGCAGTAACAATGAAATAACACTAGTTGGTACGCTAGTGTGTACATTAATTGATGCATATAGTACTGCTGTTTCATTTTTTCTCTTACAAACATCGCATTCAACTATAAAAACTATCTTCCCAAATACAAAAATTTTAACCTACTTAAATAGCCAAAAATTAAAATAATCTACTAAAATAGCAACTTTTCAAACACCAGGGCGGAGGGAAAGATCATCTAGGGGGTCACGTGCCACCTGGGTTTTGGATTTTCTTTCTTCTTCTTTTTTTTCAAACATAAAGAAAATATTTTAAATAGTTTTTTTAAAAAATATTATAAATGTCAATGACATTTTTAAAATTATAAGAACAATAGTGATTGTTTTGATTGAAAATAAAAAGACTACGATATTATTATCTGTGAAAATTTCAATATAATGGTGATGTCTATCATTGTTGACATACAAACCTAATCTCAATGAAAATATAGAATTTATTAAATTGTTAGTTATAGTTGATATGTAGGGATCATCATTCATGTGTTTATTTACTATTGGTTGGTGATGTCGCATGTCAATGATGACCTGATATGACTATTATATTTAATTTTTACGCATATTTTGTATAAAAAATTACGTTATCATTATATAATTTATTTTAAAACTTTATATCCATGACTTTTTTTAATATTATCTATGATACACTAATTACAAATAATATTATTATTTTTTTTATCTTTCTTGAAGTCAATCGTAAAAATTTATGCGAAATATTTTTGTAAAAATTTTTACTATTATAATTAATAAGTACCCCTCTAATTTAATTTCTTGCTCTGCCTCTAATTTAATTTGATATGTTCTAACTTTTTTTTTTATCTAATTTATTTATGCAAACATCCACTATATATATAACGTGGTGTTAGTGACCTCGTATTTCTGTTATCCGACTTCGGTAGGCAACTCATATTAAATTTTGAAGGATATATTAAGGGTAGTTTAATATTGGCTAATATAATTAATTTTTTAGTTTGAGATTTTTTTAGGTTCATTTAGTTTTTATTTTGAGATTTTTTTTTTAATTTTTGTAAGAAAAAAAATATAATGATTATAAAAAAAATAATATTTTATTTTATTAATTTATATAACTTATTTTATCTTTTTGTGATTTTTTAATTTTAAAATCTTAGCCAAACGAGAACTAATTAAAATTCCATTTCTCATTCTTCGGCAGATCACCTTCAGGCCATAGACACCTTCAGGCTATACAGTAGGTAATTTTGTGGGTTATATATAGGACAAGAAACTATATGATGTACCCAAAAATTAGTGGAGACAAAGCTCCTAATTTCCCTGTGAGCAATTTTTTTGGCCCTCAAAACGCTATTTGTTTTTCTTTTTGATAGCGAGGATATTCAGGGATTTGCTCAGACTATAAGTTGTATAAGTAGTTTTCTGTTCTACACATACCACGCAGGTCATAGGGATCCAAGAAGGTCAATCTCTTTTATGTGATTTGAACTCGTGACTGAATTCTCTTGTCACGATTTAACTTGTCACTCAACTGGCACTTTTGGAGCTGGTTATTTGAACAATCTTTCTTTTACGCTCAAATAGTTGACGGCTTTTCTATAGTAAAGTGCCTATATAAATCGGGCTATTGCTGTTTTATGACAGGTTTTAATATCAGATTAGGACTTTAATTAGCCATTTAGATTGAAGTAAGGAATTTCAGATTTCAGAACTAGATCATTTTTTTTTATGAATTTAGGAAACACCATCCTTTTCTTATACATGCCTTGAATAATGTTTTACAGTCAACGTTTCAAAATCTGAATCTTATTACTAAAGTTAGAGATCAAATACATTTTTTTTTTTCTTTTGAAAGTTGTAAAAATTGTGTCTAACTTTGTGTAGGTCCATATTTTCGCCAGTATTGAGGGATTGTTTGGGATGTTTTAAATAAGTATATTTTTTAACTTTTTATAAAAAAAATATGTATAAAAGTAAAGAGGAGATGTTGATTGATGTGACTTAAAAAAGATAAAAAGATAAAAAAGTGTGGACTTATTTAGTCTTTCCAAACAAGGCCTAACTATGTAGCCATCTTTAAAATAAATTTCTTAGTTAAGCTTCTCTTGTCTTTTTGATAACATGTTTATCACCTCATATGTATGGAGTGGGCTTTGATATCTTTTCTATGTTTTTTTTGATTTAGATGTATTGAGCTTGGAATCTAATATAGACATGGTGATCATATGATGCAGGCAGTAAATTGAGAATTTTGTTTCTGGTGCAAAATGGCTTCAAATGTTACAGTACAATGTCCAACGCCCATGAAGGCTACTTCTAATGGTGTCTTCCAGGGCGATGACCCCCTTAACTTTGCACTTCCGCTTGCGATTTTACAGATATGCCTAGTGGTTGTTGTCACCCGAGCGCTTGCTTTTCTTCTAAGGCCTTTAAGACAGCCTCGCGTTATTGCTGAGATTATTGTAAGTCTGCTATGTCCTCTCCTTTAATTTCTTTTGTTTAATCTATTGCATTTTCCTTTCCCTTTCCTTACCATGATTGTGCGTCATGGTATAGTTTAGGTAAAGCTATGGAGATTAAATTTTGAATTACTGTAGGATTTGGAAACACTTACATCTGTGTATTAATGTTTATTATGGTTGCAGATTATCCATTAAGAAAGTGTCACAATATGAAGGTCTTTAGGGGAATTGACCCTGTTATGTTGGAAGTTCAAATCTTAATATTTTATTGCTTAAGCAAATCAAATAACTTCCGAATGTTTCCTTAGTTTAACCATCAATGCTGATCTGAAAACCAAGGACATTTCTTGGAAGTTCTTTGATCTTGACACTGGTTAAAATTGGACTCCATAAAAAATATTCTACTACAATGGAGTTCTTTGATCACTAGCTTTTTCTTTTCTTCCCCATTGCAAAAAAGTAAATAATAATAATAATAATAATTTACAGTTGAAGGAATGGAGATTAAGATACTTGTCAGTTCGCCGGATTACAATATACATAATATAATGCAATTATGGTCCTGTATTTTATGTTGCGGCCCTATATATTTGCAAGGTACTTGAGGAGAATTAACCTATATTATCAATTTTGGCAGGGCGGAATTTTGCTAGGTCCATCAGCTCTGGGTCGCAACCAAGCTTATCTGCATAAAGTTTTTCCACCGAAGAGCTACACGGTACTAGATACCCTAGCCAATCTTGGTCTCCTCTTCTTCATGTTCCTTGTAGGTTTAGAGTTAGACCCAAGGTCCCTTCGTCGAACTGGAAAGAAAGCATTGAGCATTGCCTGTGCCGGAATTAGCCTTCCTTTCGCTCTAGGAATCGGGGCATCTTTTGTCCTCCGAGGAACTATTTCCAAAGGCGTAAATGAAGCCCCATTTCTCGTATTCATGGGGGTTGCCCTATCTATCACTGCCTTTCCTGTTTTGGCTCGTATCCTTGCTGAACTCAAGCTTTTAACTACTGATGTTGGTAGAATGGCCATGTCTGCTGCAGCGGTCAATGACGTGGCTGCTTGGATTCTACTTGCTCTCGCAATTGCCCTCTCCAGCACTGGTCACTCTCCTCTAATTTCGTTGTGGGTTTTTTTGTGCGGTTGCGCATTTGTCGTTTGTTGTATATTCATTGTCCCATGGGTATTCAAATGGATGGCACAACGTTGCCCCGAGGGTGAACCAATGGATGAAATGTACGTGTGTGCGACTCTAGCCACTGTTTTGGCAGCAGGTTTTGTCACTGATTCAATTGGAATTCATGCCCTCTTTGGTGCTTTTGTGATTGGAGTTTTAGTCCCAAAGGACGGACCATTTGCAGGTGTTCTTGTGGAAAAGGTTGAGGATCTTGTATCCGGCCTACTCCTTCCTCTCTACTTCGTGTCAAGTGGATTGAAGACCAATGTAGCCACCATTCAAGGGGCTCAGTCATGGGGTCTTCTCGCTTTAGTCATATGCACAGCCTGTTTTGGGAAAATTGTAGGCACTATTGCAATCTCTCTTATGTGCAGAGTGCCTTTCCAGGAGGCTGTGGCTCTCGGGTTCTTGATGAACACTAAAGGCCTAGTCGAGCTCATTGTCCTCAACATTGGGAAAGACAGAGGGGTAAGTAAGATTGAGCTCAATTATTAATTAGTTTTTATTTTGAATTTGAATGATCTCAATTTTGATTGTGTTACATTGTTGATTTTTGCAGGTGTTGAACGATCAAACATTTGCCATTATGGTTCTGATGGCTCTCTTCACAACCTTCATCACAACACCATTAGTTATGGCTGTGTATAAGCCCGCGAAAAGGATGGGAAAAGCTGAGTACAAGCACAGGACAGTTCAGAGGAAATACCCAAATACTCAACTCCGAATACTGGCCTGTTTCCACAGCGCAGGGAATCTCCCAACCTTGATTAATCTCATCGAGGGGTCTCGTGGGACCGAGAAAAAGGAAGGACTATGTGTGTATGCAATGCACCTCATGGAGCTCTCTGAGAGATCATCTGCTATTCTAATGGTCCACAAGGTAAGAAAGAATGGACTGCCCTTTTGGAACAAGGGACAGCAATCTGGTACCAACCAAACTGTCGTTGCTTTCGAGGCTTTTAGGCAGCTGAGCCGTGTTTCTGTTCGACCCATGACAGCAATCTCACCAATGAACAGCATGCACGAGGACATATGTGCTAGTGCAAATAGCAAAAGGGCAGCCATTATAATTCTCCCATTTCACAAACATCAAAGGCTGGATGGGCAGTTGGAGACAACTAGGACCGATTTTCGTCATGTCAATCGCCGCGTTCTTGTGCACGCTCCATGTTCAGTTGGCATATTAGTAGATCGCGGGCTTGGTGGAAGGACTCAAATATCTGCAAGTAATTTTGATTCCTCAATAACAGTCTTATTCTTCGGAGGCAATGATGATCGTGAAGCTCTTGCTTATGGTGCTAGAATGGCTGAGCACCCTGGCATTAATCTTCGGGTTATTCGATTCTCAGTAGACCCCAAAGTTATTGGAGAGATTGTGAGGATTGACATGGATGACAACAATGCCATTGAAGCAAGGTCAGAAGATGATGAATTTATTTCTGAATTTAAGCAAAAAGTATCAAAGGACGGTTCAATCAAGTATGAAGAGAGGATTGTGAGTAGTGCTGCAGAAACAGTTGAAATCATTCGTGAGAATTGTCGTTGTAGTCTGATTTTGGTTGGACGAATGCCGGAGGGTCAATTAGTTTCAACTTTGACTGGGAGGAGTGAATGCCCCGAGTTGGGACCAGTAGGTAGCTTGTTGATTTCGCCGGATTTGTCCATAACAGCATCAGTGTTGGTGGTGCAACAATACCATAGCCAGTTGTCCCTGCCTTCATTGGCTTCGCTGAAGGAGGAAGAAGAAGAAGAGTTGCCCGAGAGAGATTCTGATACAAATTGATTTGCTTTTGATTGCTGGGATATTTGTTTTTTACATGTGAATTTTTTTTTTTCCAATTTCAAATTATTGATTCTCTCTCTAAGATCTTGCGCAACACGGGTTTTATGCTAGAAGCATGTTTTATATATACAAGGGGGAGTTTCAGTTATTCAATATAGCGTCGTTTATTTTCTTTTCTTTATCATGTCATCATATATGCATTGTGTTGTGTTTCTTTTTGGATTCGCAAATATTTGATAGAATAGAAGTTGGTGATTTGTTCGGATAATTTTTCGAACGGAAAATTGCTAAAACTATAGCTATTGTAGTAATTATTCAATATTCTCAGAGCACCAATTCAAACGGAAGTACTAAATAATTTTTCATTTTCAAGAACTAATCGTCTTTAATATTGAGAAAAACATAGGGGGTAAGATTGAGCTCAATTAGAATTTTTGAGCTTATCGTGTCTGTTTGATCCATGCCAACACACATGAACACCACGGAAGATGTACAATTATTAAGAAGATGACACGCGGACAATGCATGAGTATGTCTGTTATATTATAATACAATAATATAACATATAATAATTTGAAGTTGTTCCATTCCACAAGCATCGGAGATCACACGAACTGACTGTCAGGGCAGCTCTAGTGGTGAAAAAGATTTGCAGAAGAAGAATTTCTTGCTGAATTTAAGCAGAATTTTTTTTGAAGAAGATCTCAATGAGTATGAAGAGAAAAAATAGAGAATAATGCCGCAGAAATATTGGAAGAATAGGTGTGATAGAGAGTTTGGATCCAACTGATTTGGCTTTTGTTAGTTGAAGTCGACAAATTATTTCATTCTGGGCAGTTTTAGGTTCTTTTTGGCAATTACTTGTCATTTTTGTTTGGCTGCAAACAACTGTTTAGCTTTTACCAATGTTGTTACAAGTTGGATTTGATGTTTCATTTTTTTTTTTTTTTTTTTTGGGGGGTCAAATAAATTGAATTTGTTGGGGAAATATGATAATAGATCAACCTCAAGACTTCCGAAATAAATTTTTTTTTTTTAAAAAAAAAATACCCCAAATAAAGGGAGATGTTTGCTAAATTTTTGTTGATGACATTGTAAGGTTTTTGTTTTTGAAAATAAAAATTTATTTGGTATATTGTTTTGATTTTTAAAAAAATGAAATTATTTTCAAAATTTTTTAAAACAAAAAAAAATGAGTGTTTTCACTTATTTTCAAAATAAATTTTTACTCTTTTCTTCACTTGTGGCTGCGAGTGCCAATTGCCACCGCCACCAACCACTGCTGGCCATTGACAACCCTTCGCTGAGCTCCAACTATACCTTCTGATGGACTTCAACAATTAAACTCATACTTTGGCTACCTATTCTGGGGTGTTTGTTTCAGCTTTTCAGAGTCAACTTATAGCTTTTAGCTTTAAAAAAGTTATTTTGGACTGTTTGGTTAAACTTATTTCAAACAGCTTCTGATTCTAACAGCTTATTTTAACTCAAAAAAGCTGATTCTGATAAGCTGCTCACCCGTTGCTTCTGATTATGAGATTCTGTTGTGGACATGTTAATTTATGGTTATACTCTTAAATTTTTTTATTTTTTATTTTTTTAAAAATAGAAAAAGACTCAAATGGACTATAGATTATTATTATTATTTTTTATGAGAAATGTAAACAAACAAAAAATAAAAATTAATTGAAAAAGCTATTTCACAGCTTATTTAACAAACACTACTCAGCAACTTAAATCTATAATCCAACAGTTACACCAAACAGATTAACAATTTCTGATTAAAGTCATAATCTATAATGTTTTAAGCTATAATCTATAAACAGTTTTAACAGTTACACCAAACAGAGCCTCTGACGACCAATTCCAGCCAGTGGCAGAGGTATAGAGAGTCCAAGGGAGTCACGTGCCCCCAAGTTTTGAAAAAATTTTTTTGTTGTAAATATAAAGAAAATATTTTAAATAAAAAATTTATAAAAATATTATTTAGAGTGAAATATTAATGACATTTTTAAAATTATAAGAACAATAATTGTTATTTTGATTAAAATTAAAGAGACTACGATAAATTATATAATTATTTATGAAAATTTCAATATAATTGTGATATCTATCATTATTGACATGTAAACATAATTAATCTCAATGAAGATATATAATTTATTAGATTGTTAGCTATATTTAATATGTGAGATTCATCATCCATGTGTTTCTTTACTTTAGTTAGTGATATTACATATTAATGATGGTGATATTACTATTATATTGAATTTTTACTTAAATTTTGTATAAGAAATTATTTTATCATTATATAATTTATTTTAAAACTTATATCCATGACTTTTTTATTTTTACTTTTTATATTGACCATGATACACTTGTTACATATAATATTAATTTTTTAAAATTTTTTTTGTTAAAGTCAATCGTAAAAATTCATATGAAATATTTTTATAAAAATTTTCAATGTTATAATCGATAAATACCCTCTCTATAATTGATAAAAACTCCGTCATTGACTGCAGCCACCCCCACGTGACCACCACATCCATCCACTATCCACCCACCACTAACCATAACCTTTGACAACTCACTGAAATATATATATATATTTTTTTTTCAAAATTTTTGTACATATCAAATAAAGATTTTTTTTTTTAAAAAAAATTTAACAAAAAAAACTCCATTTTTTTTTTATAAATAAAAAATTAACAATGTTAACAAACCACACGTCAACGAATTAACTCATTTCCTCACAAAAAGCCATCTTTATATTGATTTCATCTTTTTAAACAAACATTGATTACCATGTGGTTGAAATTGAACTTGCTTTATGCAGCATTTTTTGAATCAAGATTGATTCTATTATGACGATCTCTTGGAAATTTCTTGGATGATTGGTAGAAAGTTGTTTCCAACACTCCCCTCTAGTGGAAGCATGGCATCCTCACATAACCTTGACATGATTGGTTGACGAGTGCAGCAGACTTTCATTGACATTTCCATGACTTGGATTGGTATATTGTAACTATTGTTTCATTGACATTTATCTATGACTTGGGTTGTATATTTTGAATCTATTGTTATTGATAGTGTTGATCTTGAGAAGGACTGAGTACTAATTATTCAATTGTGAATTTAATGTTGAGAAGGATTGAGTATTAATCATTCGATTGTAAATTCAGGGATTGACTTCCCTTCAGTTTGTTGTTGGGCTCGTGGGGTTCATTACGAGTCCCACTTCGACAATCTGAATCATTGAATGTGTAGAAGTCATTGAATATTATGTACTTACAAAAAATCATTTTGATCGGATATCGATAGCTACGTGATCAAATCAGTTTTGTAAAAAAAAAAGACGATGAAAAAATAAATAATTAACAGAAATCTGATCCAATGAGATAGCCATCGATATCCGATCAATGTAATTTTTTACAGACATAATGTACTCGATGAGTTTTACACATTAAATAATTTAAATTATTAAAATGGAATCCGTGATACACTTTCATAAGCTCAACAGTACCTCCAATTCGATCATAGACCGGAGGAACCTCAGCCCGTGAATTTAATTTTGAGTTAACATGTAGAATTGTAAAAGTAAGAATATTTTGATATTTTAATATTTGCGATCTATATTCCTTTCCGTTAAGATGCCAACAAATTGCCTCTCTCCAAGTCAACAAATTGCCTCTCTCCACTTACATGTAAATTTTTCTTCTCTTGTATTTATTTGGAGATTATTTTTTTTTTATTTTTTTGTGTGTGGAATTATTGGCTTGTTGATTTTATTGTATAATTGTCCGTGTTAATAGACTTTCTTGTATATAATAATGCAATTATTATAATATTTATAAATGATCTCTTTGAATTTTTAAAAGGAAAATGATTGGTGGCCCTAAAAAATTTGCCCCTAATGCCCCTAATTTCCATTTTTAGAAACTGTTTTCTTTTTTTCTTTCTTTTTTCCTTTTTTTTTTTTTTTTTTACCTAAAGTGGAATTCGTGTTAATAGACTTTCTTGTATATAATAATGCAATTATTATAATATTTATAAATGATCTCTTTGAATTTTTAAAAATACATATAATTAAACGTAAAATATATAAATTGACTTCTTTTCTAACACGAAAACATTATTGTAATTTTTAAGAATAATACTATGAATACTAATACTCTTACTAAAAATATAAGAGTTTAAATATGATTGATTGTCAAAAAAAATAATGATACGTAAATATCCAATAATATTTAGACATGTATATTTTTACAACAACACTTGACATTTGTTAAACATATTATTAAAAATGATTTTTTAAAGGTGATAAATTAGGAATATTTACCAATAAATCTCATATCAGAAACAACTATACCAATCAATTCCACTTTTGAAATGTTTATCGAAAAAGTCTTACTGGTGGGGAGGTTTAGATCTATGTGACCCTATTTTCTAAGTTTGGTAATGAGCCATGGACAATTATGCCCTTTCTTATTTGACTGGGTTATTTTTGATGGGATCACCTTCATTTTTGGTAAGTTGAATGTTACAATGATACACATTTCCACCATCGGCTGTTAGGGTTTTGGGGTTTTGGGGAGGAGTGTTAGTGTATGGTCTGTGTGACGTCGCAAAAAAGGTACAATTTTCGATCATCCAATTCGCCGTTATGCAGGTATGTATTCTTTTTTTGTAATAATGCAAAGCTGTTTTGTTTTGTTGGTAGTATCAGTTTTTGTGATGGGCTTGTTTGTGTCCATGTTAGGGTAGGATATGTGATGTGTTTAGGGTGTAATGTTTTTTGTTTTCAAAGTGGTTGTGTCGGTGTGTGATGTGTTACGGTTTGCCGACGGTACGGTTTTACGTCAATGGATTGGAGAGTCTGTGTGTGTGGGGGAGGTGTGAGGGGGCTGAATGGGTGGGATTCGTGTAATTTGTTGGTAAGGGATGTGTGTGACAGGTTGATTTCGGGTTTAAGGGAGTCGAAGGAGGTGTGTGCCAACGTGTGGTCTGGGTTGTGTTTTTTTATGTTTTGTTAAATATATACAGGGGATGGACACGCTTGTCATGTTGGTATGTTGTTATGGTAATACGAATGCCGCAGTCAATTTGCAAGCCCCGTTTCGTTACCATGATCTGGTGAATCGTGCGTGTGGAAATTTTTCTGGGTTGACATCCGAGAATGTGAGTTTGTTTTTCGAAATGCCAGGTTACAATAACTTCACATTACAGAATGATGTTGATATGGAGAACATGGTCTCACTTGAGCGG